TATATTTGAATTGTGTTTTAGCTGTATTGGCAACTTGGAATACAATGCGCAAATGAATTGGAATCGTGAAGTCCATTTTAATTTTTTGAATGCAAATACTCTTAAATCAAGCCTTGTGGAAATATTTTGCCTTAATAGAAAGCTATATATATATATATATATAGTATAGTACGTTAATATTAAAATTTAAATATCAGGACTTTTAAAACCTTGCCGACTAGTTAATGCTTTTCTTTACTTAAACTAGTTTTATTACCTTTAAGGAATAATTGTATTAACTTCCAAACTTTAAAGTTTTTCATAAAAATTATCCTTGACCAGTTGTTTTAGAGGAAATTTGGAAAAACACTAGATTTGAATAATTTCAAATAAAAGACATAGAAAACTTGTTTAAACTAATTTGGTTCTAGTTTGCTTCTAGAAAGGAAATATCTTTAAAAGAAACCTCACGAAACATTTTGTTTCTTTTCCAGCTTTAATCTTAAGAGGGAGTTATTGATTTATTTCGAGGAATTAAACTAGTTTTATACAAGATAATCTTCTATATATAAACCAAAGGTGTGTTTAGTAAAACTTATAGTTTTAAAACTTGGATTTCTAGGGTTTAACGAGGACGTGGACTATGATTCCCAGCTTGACTTTTGAGCTTCACGTTTGGTGAGTGTCCGTGCTTGTTTTATGACTAATGTGTTATAGTGCTTTCTTGACTTGTTATATGATAATTGGAAAGTGTTTTTCCTGAACCATCGACGTGGCAGTGTGTACTTTATCGCACTAGCCTTTCGAGTGGTGACTTGCTTGAAATGTTTTCTCGAATATCTTGCAATTGTTGACTGGAGCGTGGACTCGTCAACTAATCTACTAGGCAGGGAAGGGTACTACACCTTAAGGGTGGGAAGGCCTCTTATCCTGACCTGGTAACCTCTTGTTGGACGCAACGTCGTTGGGTGAATCCCTCGACCAGTCCCTAAGGTATACTCGAGTATTACCACTCTCTTGTTTGGCGTTCGGGCCCGATAGGGGGAGCAAGCTGGTTGGAGCATGTTAAGGAAAAAAAAATAATGAATCTACATGGACTTTAGATAGTGAGAGTTGACGGAGGGTCAACTACGGCTCATTTTGATCAAGTGCGGGGAAAATGGCTCCTGAGAGCCCCTGTATCCTACCCTGTACTGTTATACGCTTTCCTATTTGTGAATTTAAGCTTAGAACTATTATTTGCTATTTGTTTATATGATTGCATGGTTTGGGCACCACTGAGTTGTAGCTCACCACACGATATTTGTTTTCCTTAATAGGTTTCGGCATTTGGATGTTTTGAAGTCTGCTTTTAGCTATTGTAAATGTTGTTTCGAATCGTTTTTGTATCTTTTGTTTTGGGTTGTCACTTGAAGTTGGAAAAGTGCAAACCCTAAGTTTTGGCTTGTATGAATTTATTTGAGCTTTATGAGTTTACTGTGTGGTTTGTAATGTATATTTGTAGTTTTGGGTTGAACTAGTCGGAGATGTGTTTAAGAGTGAACAGTTGGATGTTCATTGGTAATGTTATCTCTGAAGTTAATGTGTAATAGTACTTCAGTCGTTAAAATGTTTGGCATGTCCAGATGACGAATTGTGTTTTGGTTTTAAGTTATACGTGGATTTTTAGTCAGTTTGCTTGCGTGAGTCCTAGCGAGAGCTAAGCAGGCGACCCGCCAACCCTCTGGTTCGCCTTAGGGAGAAGTGGGGCCGTCACACTTGATACTATAGGCAGGCAAAATGTACAAATTTTGTGAGAGAAAGAGCCTAATTTGAGCTTCTCGAGCCTGTTCAAGATCGGCTCATTTATGTTAAATGAGTCAAACTCAAATTTGAATTAGGATTTTAATTAATGAGCTAAATACAAACGGAGATTTCAAGATCAAAATTCATCGAACAAATACGAGCCTTGTTCACGTAGTTAAATGAAAAGAGTTCAAATATGGGATTCTCGGTTCGATTCGACTTACTTATAACTCTACGCAGAATCCATGGCCATTCAATTCAAATTTCAATAACAAAAAAAAGAAACTTTTTTTAAATTTGTCATTAAAATGGACGACCTAGATAACGTAATCAATTTCTGTCACATTCTTTAGATCAAGCTTGTGTAGAGAGTTTGGATGAAAATAGATTTCTTTCATTCGCTACTATTGAGTTCAGCATGTAATGAAAGGGGGTTCGCCCTTTATATTTTATATTAGCTTGTATGCTTGGTATACGGATTTACTCTTATACCATGCCATAAATTCTATAGTCGTTTGGGTTTAACAATACATGATGATGTTAGGAAAATATGGTAAATGAAGTGCGTTGATGCAAGCTTATTAAAAAGGGGAAAGGAAAAAAAGGAAGTGCGTGATGCAAGAAAACATAGGTAATATACATGAATGATACATGACAATACAAGAAAACCGATGTGATTGTAGAATGTACCACATAGTTGACAAGTAGGACCAAGGATCAAGTCAAGCTAAATATTTGCCCATAAAGATGATGTTATGTTCACAAAGGAAATTACCCTTTGTTGGGATTGTAGTAAGAGAATAAGGGGATTGCCCTTAAAAGTAAAGGGGGAAGAGGGCTTGTATCTTAGACGTGATGGAAACAAGAGCGTGCGCCTCTTTATGAACAAAGAAAAGAATGGAAAAGAAGGGCGAGGACCCTTTTTGTGAGCAGCCTACATCTTGAGATGTTGAAAGTCTCCACGAGCCCCCACTTGTGGAGAGTGGGATTGCTGGAGTCTATCAAAGGTAGAGATTTACCACTTCATGTGTGATGATGATAACTTAGCTTCAGAGAACTTCATTAGTAAGCGGCTCATCAGTTACGAGACAAGTTGGGGTTGCCAGTTGGGATATTTTTAAGAATGGCCTTTCAATTATTGGTTTTATTAAATTTTGGCCCCATGATTCTGCAAAGTTATTTGTACTAACAGAAAATTTAACCAAAAAAAAAAAGTCTAAATTCTGAGGGTATTTTAGTCCAGAAAAATAAAATGTGAGGTAAAGTGCCCATCTAAAATACTGAGAGAGGTGCAAAGTGCCAGTCCCGAAAAGCTCAAGGGTGTTTAGTGCAATAAGCTAATATAAAATCTATCTATCGAATGATGAATTTTCCCTTTTCAGTTTCACCGGCTTCCACCAGCTTCCATCAATGAGAAATAGACAGAAATTGCTGCTTAACTTGTTTTTGTTCAAGAACATAATGTAAACAAATTGCTGCCTCCGTAATTTTTATAACTCCAACAGATTATAGTTAACTTGTCCACAGAAATTGTAGTTTGTCTGTAAGTTAAAAAAAAATCATATTCAATTAACATGTTACTCATTGATAGAAATCAGTGATGGCTGCCATTGCACCACAGGTCTCACTCTCCTTTTTTTTACTTCTGCAGGTTGAAGATGTGAGCCCTTCTTGGAATTATTATCCGCATGGCTATTGTTATGTTCTGAAGAAACTGAATCAGAATCCTGCTTAGCATCTATACCGAAGAAGCGTACTCGAAGATCGCCAGACTTCTTTTTACTCTTGGACTTGATCAAGATATCAAATCGGTTTTGTACAAATGAACTGCTGCTCGAGAAACTCTCTTTCTGACAGCCTATCACAGCTGATGAAGCATCATCAACCGACGATTGCGACTTATAAAGGAGGCTTGAGTCTAAATCACTAGGTTTCTTGATTCGTCGTATGAGTTTCTTCAGTGTTCTAGGTGGGACAAGGAAGTATTTTTGGCCGGGAATGAGGATCTCTTCACGGCAGATGATGGCGCCCCACGGTCTCTGGAAAACATCAGGTCTAGTTAGCATGAAAGAAGGGTATTTGTCTATGATCCTGGCTGCTGGAACTGCCATGTAGTATAGCTCAACAAGGCCCCCTGCATGGATGATCTTCAAAACTGCTGATGACCTCTCCTCCGCTACTGGTGTGGGAGTTGGGGCAAGTTTTCTTGCACCAAAGATCTTCAGGATCATGCTTGGTGCTAATGCAAAATGCCAATTTTGATAGCTGCTGCCGCTAAGATTCAGGCATGCAGTCAAGTACGAGGAAGGATTCTCACATTTATGCTAGCTACTTGGTTTGATTTTTGACCATCGATGAATACAAGAGCCGGCAATTTACTTGGTCTTTCTTTTGGACTTTCCCATGAAAAGCAGTACTATGATTAAGAAAGAGCAACATATTCCCCAGGAAGATAACAACTAGGCGAACTCTTGAACGAGAGTCCGTAATGTTTTGTTGGCTTCTCAATGCAACGAGATTTCCTTCTCAAAAAATATATCTTTTGCCTGTCTTTCCCACCCCTGCCAATTGGAGGAGTGGGAGTAAAATATTCCAAGCCAGCTCATCCCTTCGGATTGGGGTTGCTTACAATTGTAAGCACCATACAATTGGTGATCCATATTGATTCAATTTGGATTCAGATGGATAGGATACATTGTGGAATACAAATTTCAGTGAATGATAAAATTTGTCATTAGTTAACACGTTACTACCTTAGGGTATGCATTTTGTTACAATCTTAAAAAGAATTCCCTAGTTTGCTCCAATGGTCCGTTCTATGGGACAAAAATAGGTCTCCAACACTAATTGCTGCATGAACCCAAAGGGATCCAAGACTCGAAGGATGTGGAATTGAGACGGGGATATTAATTCAGGAACTCCCCCTAAATTGGGCTCCAGACAACAAACATGAGAGGACAAAAAGGTCCCCCAAAAAAGAGTTATATTCATCTCTTCAACAAGTTTAGAAATAAGCATAACTGCCATGCACAACATTCCTAGTGTCCTGAAGGAACTGTAGTGGAAGGGGCCCCGCGGCGGGTGCGGGGGTTATGACGCCACCCATTCCCTCTCCGTCCTATTATTCAAACACAAACGAGAAAGCAAACCCCTCTTGCATTGTGCAAGGAACGTAACTTAGCATAAATCATCTTCAACTGGGATATTTCTAATGACTTACTGTAGATACTGCAGGATGAAACAATGAAAAGAATAGAATGCTGCATTTGCTTATACCAACACCCATTACAACAGTCCAGCTAAATCGTTGCTATCAAAATTTACTTTACAGGAGAGCTGTGAACTCAATTTCACCTTTCAGAAGCCTAATAATCTCAGGGAAAAAAAAGTTGAAAAGGAGAAAAAAGTTGTCTCCCAAGGAATGCTAAGTGTAAAAAGAAATGCCAAAAAGATAATGGCTTAAAAGTTGCAGTTGTTTACCAAATATCAGCAGCAAGACAGATAACCAGCAGAACACCTTTCCAACTAATAAAAGGTCAATTATCCATACAGAAGCATTTCACCATCAGTATCATCACTTCCAGCGATCAACAGATATCATCCACCAAACCATTTTTTTGGGTCTCCTTTCATAAAATTTTTGCTCAGCTCGATTATATTCTACGTTCATATTGCAGATGCTTTGGTTTACTTCAACATCGCTGGAGAATCTCAAAAAATTCAAAGATATCAATTTCCACTTCCAGTTCTGTAGCTTAGAGAAAATGAGCTCCCTCTTTAGAAGTTATTAGGCCAGTTCATTTGTGAATGTTGTGGCTGCTGGTATGCACTGGCTGTGGGTCCAACCACATCTAGAGGACTTGCCATTGTCTGAGACTGCTGCAGTAGTGGGTTAACAGTAGTTGCATTGACTGGTTGTGCTGGGTGATATATGCCAGCAAAGGTCCCATGGCCAGGCTGTGCAGGTGCAAAGGCCACCTGACCCTGGGGAAAATTGTAGAATGAGCTGGCCTGCAAGCTAGAAAAATCTCGGCCAGGAGGTGCAATCCATACACCAGAGCCTTCGCTCTGTTAACCAACATTCAACACCAATATTATGGGATTATCCATATAGTTCACAGGATATATACATTTAGCGCAGAAAAAAAAGTAAAAGAAATTAACATACCATTCTATAGACATAAAAATAAAATACAGAAAAAGGGAACTGGAGCCATTCAGCAAAAGTGAATGGTCAGGGACCTGTTATGTCCAAGTGCAAGGAATGCATGGACAAAGCTCATGTACAAACCCGATCCTATATCCAACTACTAACTTGTATTTAGTGTTTTCTTTTTTCACACAAATCTATGCCATAAAGCAAATAAACAAAAAACATAACAAAATTGAGTTCACAAAAACCAAAGATTTTAAAGCTTCAACATTGAAAAATGCAACAAAGTAACTTGACAAAGGCCTTGTTCTTAACTAATTTTGGAAACTTGATTTTAGATTTTGATTTTTGAAAACCTATATTATTTTGTTCTCAACTGATTTTAAAAAACTGATATTAGATTTTTTGGATCCAAAAACGCTGAAATCAGACAGATTTTAAGGTGCTTTTGGATTCTGATTTTGATCTACTTTTTCATGTAGACAAAATTACCCTTTAAATTGCAATATAATTACTAAACTACCTAAAGATTAGGTAACTTTTTATGGTCTTTTTATCTCTCCTATTCTCATCTCACTTCATCTATATGACTTGCTTTTTCATCAACCATTTAATCCTCATGAGAAAAGTAATTAATTACATCAAAAATTATTTAATTCGCACAAAACTTCATTTATGTAGCATATAAGGGTAACATGGTCATGTTATTGTTAAAATCAGATTTTTAACTTTTTCTGAGAACACTTATGCATTTATTAAAATGGCTTTTTAAATAGTAAACAAGAACACATGATTTATTCTGAAAAATCTAATTTTCAAGAACCAATTTTATAAAATCAACTTTACAAAATCAGAATCAGTTGAAAACAAGCCCGAAGAAAGGTGCAACTGCACCACTGCAAAGACATTGTTACCTAGTCCACTCCTAAAGTGAACCCTAATCCAACAAAAGCCCACCTAAATGGAATCCCAACATGATTCTTAGCCACAATAGATTTGCCAATTTGGTTTTTACCTAATGAACTTCATTTTCCCAAAGTTTTCCTATCCCAACAATCACTTTGAAATTAATGCTCAGAGTCAGATGAGAAACATTGAGTGCTTTGTACTTATCCTTTTCTAATCCAAGGTTGACTAAGGGCCTGTTTGATAACTCTACTTAATGCTGAAATTAATTCATTCAAAAATTTTTGAATACAGCATATTTGGTAACAAAAATACCTTACCACTTAATGTATTAAGCACTGCTTAATTTCTGTACAAACTTTTAATTAAAAATTTTTCAAAATTAACTACATATACTATACCTCACACACAGGACAATTTCATACTGTTCTAGCACATGGTACGCACGTGTTTTCCTTATGTTCAACACACAGACTTGCATGCATGCACACGCACTCTTACACACAGATACACACACTTGAACACTACCTCTAAATTGTTTTATTATTTTCTTTCTCTCAGACACGCACATTTTTCTTTTTCTCCAAATATACAAATAAAGACAGTATAGTGATTTTTTAACACTAGCACCTTTGGATGTGTTGAAGATATGTAATCTGATATTATGGAAAGATTTGATATTGTAAATATTAGGAAAAATTTGATTATAGTATCATATGATTATAGTATTATATATTAATTAGGTATCATATGATTATAGTATCATATATTAATTAGGTAATAGATTAATTTAGATTAACATTATTTTAGGATCTAAATTAGGTTACACTTGTGTATATATATTTGTATATTGTGTAGTCCAAAGATATATGAAGAAGGGTATTTTTTCTCCCTTTTTCTTAGTTTACATGGTATCAGAGCTTCAGGCTCTGTTATCAGTTTGTCTTTTGACGTGACCCTATTGAGTCACTTTTAGGTCTTTCTTGTGTGAATTATAATGGCAGATATGAAAGGTAGTAGTAGAGAGATGAAAACAGTAATTTTTGATGTTATTCCTATAACATCAAAAATTACTGAACACAAATTAAGTGAAAAAAAATTTTTTGGATTGGAGTAAAACTATTCAAATATATCTGCGCAGCATTGATAGAGATGATCATCTCACTGATGACCCACCCGTTGATGGGGGAAGAAAAGAAGGTTTGGCTAAGGGAAGATGCAAAACTATTTTTCAAGTGAAGAGAACAAAGCATATCGAAATTGATTGCCACTTTGTTCGTGAAAAAAAATCCAGCAAAACTTGATCTCAACCAGTCATGTGAGAACTGGAGAACAGTTAGCTGATATTTTCACTAAGCCTCTAAATGGTCCGAGAATTGATTACATTTGTGGCAAGATGGGCATGATTAACATCTATGCTCCATCTTGAGGGGCAATGTTGAAGATATTTGATCTGATATTATGGAAAGATTTGATATTGTAAATATTAGGAAGATTTGATTATAGTATCATATGATTATAGTATCACATATTAATTAAGTAGTAGATTGATTTAGATTAGCATTATTTTAGGATCTAAATTAGGTTACACTTGTATATATATATTTGTATATTGTGTAGTCCAAAGTTATATGAAGAAGAATATTTTCTCCCCCTTTTTCTTAGTTTACAGGATGCATGTCACATGTCCATGATTTGAATTTTAAATTTGAATTCATGTTATGTGGCATGATTTAAACCTGCTAGTGTAAAAAAAATTATACACTAACAATGTATAAAAAAGTTATCCTTATTTAAAAATAGAAACATGAAATTTGTGCAATATTTAAATTCAGTATTATAATCAAGTTAGTTACCAAACACATATAACTTAATCAATTCAGCAATTTAACATTTTCAGCACTTAATTTTCAGAAATTAGATTTCTGACTTCAATTTTGTCAAATGGGTCCTAAAACATTTCAGACTACTCTATTAGAAGCTCAGAAGCATTTTTTCCAAATTGAAAAAGTTAATCAAATGTACAACGTTTATTAATCAAGTGACCAACCTGTTGGCTACTCTCATAAAGACTGTTTTCCTTTAAATGAGATGTAGCAAGATCCTCATTCGTAGTTGAGTTTCCAGTGGCTGATGCTGCATTGGGATTATAGTTGGCCATCGATGAACCATATGGCATATAACTCCCAGGAATTCCAACATGACTTGAGTTGTTTGGGTTAGTTCCTGGCTTGTATTGTGGGAGAGGATATTTGGCAGCTGCTGCTGGTGGAGCTGGATACAAATTGCTACCTTGAGGCTGCTGTGGGAATGCACCATTGCTTATAAATTGATGGATAGCAGGTGGAACATAGAATGGAGAGATATAGTGACCGTATGGGACATAGTTTGAAGGGTAATGAGGTAGATGCAGACCAGCCGGTGGCCGAAAGACAGAAACGGGTTGCTGTGTTGCAGCAATGGAGCTCTGCATAACACCAGCAGCTTGAGTTATGAGTGGTGTAGGTGTTGCCGTGGACAAAACCAAAGGGTTACTGGGCTGCAATTTGACATGCACATGCAGCATTTACATCAATAAGCATCTTCAAGTCCTCAACAGTTATCATATGACAAAAATAAGTAAAAGGCTTAGAAATGATGGACCTGGCATAAACAGAGTTTTGCCATTATAGAGATTCAACAAAAAAAACTACCTAATTGGCCAGTCAAAATCCTAAAGCTCTTAGGGTATGTTTCCCCAGCGTGCCTTAGTTGTCTCTACGTCCTTCCTTATTTCAAAGAGATGACATATTTGCATTCTTCTAGAAGGGGTAATTGGCTTGCCCCCTTCGAATGAATCTTAAATGCACTTCAATGATCAAAAAATGTACAGCGTGAATTTCGATATGCATAACAATCAGACTTGAAAAGGAAATCCCATTGAGACTGACATTCTTTCAGGTATAGCAAATAGCTCCAGGAATCCCATGAAGCTTAACTTCCCAGATCGTATCAGAAACCAACCATGGATCATAACACAAAACGATGAGACATTCAGGTTGCCACCCATAGATATGTTTGCACTAAACACAGACATAGACAAACGAAAAATAAAATGCAAAAGATTATTCATCATACAGTCTATTTTTGTGAAAAATTGCAAAGCAAACCAACATATTTACCTCCTATAAATTGCAAAAGTACTTTTTACTCCAGTCATTGGTTTGTATGTAGCTATAGTTTGTTTTAGTATAGAACTTCTAACAATTAAATTTCACTTCTTTACTGGGAAGCTTCCATCCTTGTGTTACCATATCGCCAGAAAAAGATTAAGCACACAGAGATTTTCATTTCCAAAGCTATCTTTTTTTTTTCCCCAAAAAGTACTTATACTTCAGTCATTGGGTTGTATGTAGCTAGAGCTTCTTCTTTTTTTAGCGTACAACATCGAATTAAATTTTACTTCTTTACCGGGAAGCTTTCGTACATGTTCCCATATCACCAAAAAGAAAATTAAGAACATACAAATTTTCATTTCCAAAACAATCTTTTTACTTCTTTTAGTTCGAGACTGCATAATGCTCTTATTAGACGTTTCAACCTTCACATTTGTTTAAAAAAAAAAACAAAAAAGATGATGCAATCATCATGCAACATTTATGAACTGAATGAACAGCCAATTAAAAGGGAAACAAGAAAAGCATTCCCCTTATTCATGATATAAAAATATTATGGAAAACAAAAAAAAGTTTACATCAGACCTTTGACCAATATGTAGGTCCACCATAAAAGTATTTTTATGGTCCCACAAATTGAAAGTCTGAACATGCTGCAGCATTTTGCTAACAAGATTATTTGACAATACACATGCAAGTATGGAAAGACAAACACAGACACATAATAGATTTAGAAGCAAAAAGGGGTAAAAGTAAGTTATACTTCCAATTTAATTTTCCATTTAATAGACGAGATTCAAACCAACTCAAGTATTTGCCCTTACTTAATCACCCTGAGTATCATCAAAAGTGTATCAGAACTAATGTCTTAAGAAAAATTTCAATTCAAAAATCCCACTCCTTTACTTGTGTGCAGGAAAAACGCTAATGGCACCAAATTTTTCCTTTTTCGTTTCATTGTAATAACTTCCACGAGCTTTGTGTTTTTTATTTTTTATTTTTTGTTTCTTTTTGTCCCTTCTTACTTCTCTTTTTTTTTCCAAGAAAAGGCACCTGAAGATGGTAGAAGTTTGGCTAGACCACTACCTGTTTATGATGACCAAGAAAAATTCATAAAGGGGGGCCAAGAACCTTACCATTTGGAAATACATGAGATTCAAAGACTTAAAGCTAATAAATGTGACCACAAAATGAACTATTTAGGAAATAATGGGCACATTTAATATTGCCCAATCTAACTAAACTGCAAATGATTTTAAAGAGAATCAGTGGTATGAAAGACCATCACTGAAGCTGAATTGTAGGCAAAATTTGCTAATGCATTGGCTACAGAACTGGCCTCCCTACATACATAGTGAGAAGTGACAGATCTATCTGCACTTAAGTCACCCATTTCCCTTTAAATTTATTATATACTACCAACTCCTCTTTACCATGCTTATCCATTCAACATATATATAGAAATGTCATACATCATCATTATCTAGTTTTTGAATTAGGCTCGAAAACCTCAACCTGATCTAACCCAACCAAACCCATTTTATTCCCTCTCAATTGTGGTTCATCACAGTGTAGGCCAACTTAATCGATTTATTTCTATTCACTTTGTTCACTTATATAATTTAAAAAAAAAAAATTTGGATCAACAGCTTTTAGCTTTATACTCCACTGACTACTAATACGAATTTATCTAGTTTTATTAAATGTTAATTTAGTAAAACAATAAGTTCATCAATCAGTATGTTTCTGAACAATTGTATACACTCGTCAGTTCTGTGATAATTATATAACAACATAATCCTAGCTAAATAGTCTATTTTCGAACACATTAGAAAGGTAAAGTCACAAAAAAGATACATCATGTATGACTCTGCCTGATAGTTTACAAGGAAGAATTTCTCCCATGTACACCTAAACTTCCATAGCATGCAGCAGAAGATGTTCTAGTTGTAATTGCCCTTGTAATAAGTTATGCCGCCTGACAAACAAATCTTACTTGACTACCCGAAATGAGATGATCGCGGCCGTTGCAGCAGAAAATTTCATTGGCACTTTTCATGTTTCAATGGATAACATTGAAAAACTTCATGTATGAACCTACATAACCATGCTTATTTAGTGCAATATGTGTCACAAGGAAAACAATTGAGGCAAATGCAGCATAGAAACCCCTTCTCATTTTTTCTCCCCACCATTTTTTACACAAAAAGGTGATGCATTAATGTTGGAGATTAAGACAAGGTGAAGAAATCAGAATTTTCAGCCAAAAGCACAAGTAAACATGTACTAAAAAAAAATTTGCATATTTTGATGCATTCTTGGTCTAAATCTACCTAACCATATACCACAATATTTAACAGTTCTCTTATGCTATTCAGCTTAGTTTCATCCAATCAAAACATGAACTTCACAATTAAGATTCAAAGGCCCAAGAGTAAAGAAAAGAGAGGCAGTCACTAGTAACGGTTTGATATGTCCAAACCTCTTGAGGAGACTGAGAAGTCTGCGGAGACAACATTGCAAAATTTCCACTGTACTTGCTAGCTACTCCAGCAGGATGGAAGGGGGAAATGCGACCATCACTGTCTGCTCCTGAACGATAGAACTGTGCATAGTAGCTGGTCGGATCAATTGTTGGTTGAACCTGTCATATAAATAGACAACTTTTTGATATGATCTTTAAAAATAACAAAAGGTTTGAAATGAATAAGGAAAATGTGTAAATAAATATGACATTCTTAGTAGATTTCAATACAAGAATTACAAATGACCAATAATTTATTCATACTCCAGAATTCTTATTTTTGGCCTGACAGCAAATGAAAACTGGGTAATGTGGAAACCCCAAACAAAATCCATTTAACCAAGTAGAACAAGAAGAATATTACAAACGACCAAGACTGAAGACTCACAACAAAAGCAGGAAGCCGAGAGACATCGCGAGTTTGGCTTTCAGAGCTTTCAAAAGGTGCAAGTTGACTACGAACTATCGGTGGCATAAATCCAAAGCTGTAGTTTGGAGTTGTATGACTGGCAGTATACTGATTGCCTCCAGGTGTACTTTCTTGCTTGGACTCATCATAATCAAGGGCATTAGAAGATGATACCCCACCTTCGCCAGATGACAGATTTTCCAGTGCATCCGTTGATGAATGGTTATTTTCAGGAGAATTACCTTCTTCCACAGCTACAAATGCATTTTGATTACTGAAACAAATCACAAGGAACAAAAAGTTGCAGTTAGGCAATAAGCAAGGTATTATAAACAGGTGAATCTATGGGAGAATTAAAAAAAATGATGATTCAGAATCAGATATTGCACGCTGTGAAATAAAATATGTGCAGAGTGCCTTTATAGCTCAGATTATTAATACTATAGCACAATTAGAAGAGGTTATGTACCATTTTACATAAGATTTTGGGAGGTTGTTCTGATGCAGGAAAAAGCAAAAAATAAAAAAACCTTATCTCACCCAAAACTGGGGGAAGTTACAAGCAGAAGAGGTCATGTACCATTTTACATAAGATTTTGGGAGGTTGTTCTGATGCAGGAAAAAGCAAAAAATAAAAAAACCTTATCTCACCCAAAACTGGGGGAAGTTACAAGCAGAAGACAAGGGTGATGATATCAACAGTTGAAAGGAGTGGAATGTTGCATATCCTAACAAAAATCTGTGTTAGACTGGGTAAAAAAATTAAAAAAAAAAAAAAGCGGCTGAAGGACCTATGAAACCAGAAGAGAGAACTACTCTGTGTCTTACTTTGCACAGAAAAACAGAATATAGGATAAAGAATATCCCTTCTCCTTTTATTGGTCAGAAAGGGCTATCAATTATGAAAAGTTGACAAAACTAGGGCATACAGAAAGAAAGGAATACTTATGTCATTTTTGACTCTAAGAGCAGCAAGCCCATTTAGCCCCCAAAAAAGTTCAAAGAATCCAGAAATTAAGTGCACGTACTAAGCTTACCTCTCACATCATAGTAACCAATACCTTTTGTACACTACTAGAAACCAAAAAAAACAACATATAGCAAGGCTAGCCAACTTAAAATGTGCAAAGAAAATCAGAGACAAACCTGGAAAACTGTTCTTCAGCAGCTTCATTTCCATCAGAAGTTTCAGAAGAAGATGCACTATGATCATTCTCTGGAGCGTTGATACTGCTTGTACTAATGCCAAAGCTAGTATCAAAACTTCCAAAACAGAACCCAAGCTTTTCAGCCTCAGGGACATGAAGGTGATGTGGGATGATAACATGTTGCCCATCAGAAACATGTAATTCCTCAAATTTCCTCTGCAGTCTCACATTAGCTTCTTTAGAATCTAGATCATTCAGTGCTGTTGCCATTTTGGTACTGGCTTCAACAGAAAGAGCAGGAGCCTCAGATGAAGCAAGTGTTCCCGACCCCTGAGAAAGACTAGGGATTGTTGATTTTGGCTTCCACTCCTTATTAGGACCCACTAAAATAAAACAGAAGAAATAGTTAATAATGTACCAAAGCATGCAGTATTCTCCCTGTGATGCAATAAATGGTAGACAACACTGAATTGCTTTTACCAACCCAGATAGATTAATTGTCAAAGTTATATACTTATTGCTTTTAATTTAGTATTGAATTGTTCACAACCTTTTACTACTTGTCATGATAATCTCAAGCAGATTCCTAGATTACTAAAGGTGTTCACTGGGAAAAACAAAGGACTACTAAACATGTTCAAACACTCATTAGTCATTTTAAAAAGCCAAGAATACACTTTCTCATGGACATTTAGAAGAGTCACTAGTTGATGACATAGAGGTAAGAGAAAAGAATATGTTATTTATGGAGGGTTAAATGAAGTCCATGACATACATTTACTTGTTTCATTGCCAACAGATGCAAAATTCTACTTGCCCCCTTGAAATTGTGAAAGCACCAAAAAACTATTGGGGCCAAAACTCTCATTTCTCAGGAAAGAAAATACTAATAATAGTAACAATACAAACAGACAATCACTTTACACTTTCGTCTAAATAGACCATTATCCATAGGCATTCTCACCATCCCAGTGTCTAACAATCTTAAGAACAATAAGATTTGAAACCTTAAGGATCAAGTACAGACTCACAGATGTACATATGAAGCAAGTAAGCTTACTGTCAGAAGCACCAATATCACTGTGACATCCTAAATTATACTTGTTTGTTCCCACAATCCAATTTTAATAAATCTCCATCAAGTCAGCCTACACATTTTCTAAGCAAAAGGATCCCATACAAGCGAATCTTCCTTTATAGAGTGTCACGCCTTCTGAAGTATTCAATCCTTCAACTTTTATTAAATTATACTCCAAAGGCTTCAGGGGAAGTTTTTTCATAGAAGAATGAGAAACCTACAGGGGCAGTTCATATAAAAAATACCCACAAGAAACAAAGTGGCTTAAACAATGGAAGTCGCATAAAAGATCCTCACCCAAGGCATATTCCCTGCCATGGAGCAAAGACAGCAAAAGCTATAGAATGAGAAAATAATCTTGCCCTAAACTACATAACATCTGTAGCATGAATCAAGTTAGTCATCTAAGTAAAACATTTACATTTCCAATCAACGTATTTTCCATTTGATTCCATTTTCCAAGAAAAGCAACATTTAGGAAAATTTATATATTCCATTTCTATCCTTTCCCTTATGTTAAAAGTTTAATGTCAATAAAAGACAAGCCAATTTTCATCAAGCAAGTTTTCCTGAAGCACATCCATTTTGTTCATTTACAAGTTCTGCATTTACCAATCGCATGGTTACTCATAACTGCAAAAGGCTTTCCCATTTATTGACACATTTTCATCAGTTATTCTACGAAAGAAAAATCTGATTTTTTTTTCAGTTTCAAAGACTATATGCTTCACATATGCATAGCCATACAAACACAATCACATAACTCTTGGTTCACCAACAAATGAAGATATCTTCCATTCTCTTCACTTTGTTTGATGAGAAAAATACCCTTCCTTCATTACTGTCGTCTGCCAAAAGCCCACAACCACTTTCCTCCCTTAGAACTCTTCTAAGCATGCAGTTCAAAACATCTGGAACTCCAACAATATAAATGGTAACTTAATCTCCAAAAAAAAAGATTTTGTGCACAAGTAATTTGCCGTCCACTTGCTGAATCCTAGAGAACTCCAAGTGTCTTAAAATAAAATGCGTCAAAGAATCCATAAATACACTATAGTCACTCGCTAGAAGAATCAATCTGCAAATTATATCTTTCTGGCACACAAAAAGTGTTAGAAAGACATTTTTCAGCTGCAGAGTAATGTTTGTCATCCACAAAATCCATAAGATGCACAAAGTGATGTATTGAAGATAATGAATTTTTTAACCTTTAGTAGACTGCAGACTAGAATTAAACCTTCAACATATCAATGCTAGCAACTCAATAACCTCCAAACTAATTAGCAATTACAACATCTAAATTTAGATTTTTACCTTGAGAAAAGAACCGTTGAAAAAGTACCAAACACACATGTTCTGTACTATGTCAAATATGCAAGACATATGTAAACTTGATTAGTCAACAGATGCACAAAGGTCCAATATGTAAATTAGGCACTTAAAAACCTAAGGCTTACACCTCTTGAAACATCTTGGGGAATTTTCTAATGTTTATCAAGTTTTGTCATATATCGCTAACTAAACGGCTAAAATCTGATGACAAAAGTACATGCCATCCTTCCGTTTGAAGTATCACAAGTTTATGGATAAAAAAGTGGATAGGATGTACTAGTTTACATAAACTTCCACATAGTAGTTGTTTTGCTATTTACAAAACAAAGTTGAATAAAGAAAGAACTGAATTAGCTAATATTATTTATTCTCCTATAATTAAAGAGTGTCTATAATTGTAGGCAACATGTTTCATATCTCATAAAGTTGCATTCTGTGTGTCCATTTTACTCATGCTTGTATGACTTATCTAGTTTCAAGTGCTTTAGAAATTAAAAAAGTACATTTCCTGTTCTAACATAGCCAGACTGGTTGCCCACTGCAACAACATCCAATGGTCGCCTACAAACCAAAACCATTTTATAATTTTAGGCAGCGAAACTTTCACCACCAAACCAACTAGAAGAATAATAACTACAAAAAGATAAACTACATTCGAGTATACCTATGATTCACTAACCTTTCTGAGGGCCAATCACTTGAGACCTGTTGCTGTAGTTAGATGATGGCCTACTGACAGCAGAAGCTGCAGTGTGTGAGGAATCTAGGTGCTGATTCTTTCCATTCCCGTGTGCCTTGCTTGGCATCTTTCCGTGGACATTTGAGTTCCCACTCTCATCAAGTCCTTTACATATTTAGCAAATGACAGAAACCATAAGCTATACTTGAACAATGAAAAAAGAATATCTATGTAAAGGACACAAAATTGCAAGTATGCAAATTGGGATCTTAAACTCCGCACCAGAAGCAATTTCAGAGACAGCAGAGATCTGTTCAACAGCACTGGACTGGATTCCAACTCCATGTTTCATTGTACCCACAGCACTAGACTGCCGTGAATCTTGTAAGGATAATGATACAGGGTCTGAAGACAAGAAATAAGCTCCTGATGGTTGTGATGAACTCATAGAAGTTGAAAAGTTACTAGAATCAGGCATCTGCTCTGCAAATTGATCCCTATTCTCAGAGGCAGTAGCAGAAGGACCCAAATGTTCCTCCAACTTTTCATTATCATGCATGACAGTCAGATTCCTAGAAACTATAGCAGTAGGACCATTTGCTGTGGCACCTAATGAACTGAAAAAGAAATTTATAGATAAGAAACAGCAATTATTACTGTCCCAGGAAATTGAAATTTTACGTGTCTACACATATATATATCCAGATTCCAAATCTATATACGTTAAACACTTTTGTGTGCACTCTGTGCATAAATACCATACTTTATGCAGACACACGTATACATATTTATGTAGCGTGCAGGTGTGCCAAAAAGAAGGATTGGATGGTTAGAGAGCAAAACATTGTTTTCTGGGTGGCAAATCATCACCACTACAGACAATTTCACCCATCTCAAAGGCAGGTACAAAGGCTCAATATAGGTCACATGTAAAGCTCCTAGATATGGGGGAAGGAGGTGACAGGGAGGTTAGAAAGGTCTTCTTTTATTAGGCAAAAGTTATGACCTGCTCCAAAAGTCGTTCAAATTTCTGATGCTATCAAAGAAAAAATTAGATTTTGTGTTCCAATCCTAGTCATCCATGGTAAAATTACAAGTATCAAGAGTTCCTAAAAGCCAACAGTGTGTGAAAAGAACCTTGCAGCAGAATTTGGCTCTTTCCCTTCACTTTCCCAGGGAGTGTTCAAAGAAGACATGCTAACGCCCTTATCTAAATCTAGGTTGGACTCGTTGTCTTTAGCAGAAGCCAACTTCCTTGCACCTGCAGCTTTATCTGACAAGAACAAAAAGCATGAGAATAATAGCAAAAGTACTGTCATGGTTTTTCTATTATTTGACAGCCAGCTGAGAGTAAGTAGATAAAATTTCAGCCACTAAAACACACACACACACATATATAGGTTACCAATAGAGCCCAAAGGGCATTCCCAGCTCTTAAAAATACTTAGCAGAAAATATTAGGTCACAGTTAGTTTCTGTGATGGACTGATATAACTAGAATAAGCTTAAAATTCTACCCGAGGACAAGCTATTGTGGACATCAAACTAATGATTTACCATGAGATATATTACGAGATGAATGAGTCCCTCGGCCCCTATTTCCCCGTCCCTGTACCCCTGATTTCCATCTTGAATCTGCAGGCTCCTTATTCAAATTCTGTGAAAACAAAAAACTTGGTTAAGGAGCAGAAAACCAAACAAAAAACTTGGTTAAGGAGCAGAAAACCAAAAAGAAGGTGCAACCAACCAAGAAAAGACAAAATGATGAAGTTACAACAGATGATTTTGGATAAAGGAGACAACATGCGCAAGGAAGGAAAACAAATTATATATGAGTACAAGAGATAGATGCCAAGAACAGTAAAAAACTATACATTTTCAAAAGCCGCAGCATTCTCCTAAAGCCTGCTACATTAAATCACCCAGTTAATGTGCAATTTATCCTCGGAGTATTCATGATTTGAGGGTTCTTGTTAAGTGCTATACTCATTGATATTTAATATCTATTTTCTCCTCTAGCATTCTCCTTGATGTGCTTATACTTGTTAAAATATTCAGATGTGCACTCAAGTTAGGCACTCATTATCAATCAAGCTAGTAATGCTGCAGATACGATGTTCAACACCTTTTTCCGAGTCAAAAGATGACAACACCCATGTAATGCTTGCATCTTATCAAGAAGTCAATGACAACAGTGTAAGGGGCATTATTCTGGTAAATGACAAGTTAGAAAGTGACCATACCTCCTTTTTCCGATCACGCTTCCTTCTTACTTCATGAAATGTATCTGCAACGGGAAAAAAAAAAAGCAGATGCTTTATCGTATAGCTCCACAAAGAAGACATGATATGAACAGATGAAAAAGGCCTAAAAAGGTAAAGATGAAGCACACTAGTCCACGAAACTCAAAATTGCAGTCATCACAAAGTTCAATCCAACAAACAACAAAGTTGAATAACAAAAACAATGGCATCCTCAATCCCATTTGGCTGTGTCAGAACATAATTGAATTTCACCTTTGTAACCCAATGGACAACACAGGATAGATAAAGCTCTCGTTCAAAACACATTCAAAAGTCCATCTTTATTCCATCTCAAGTTTTTTCTATTCTTCATTTTTCTGCACTCTAAAAGAAAATTCCAATTCCATCCAACCCCCAAATAGACATTGTTTTCCATCAACTCTCTCCCCCATCCCGCACACCTTCCCAACCCCTCCCCCCCCCCCTCTCCCCATCCCGAAAAAGGGAAAAAAAATATCAAAAACAACAAGAAGAAAAAACGAAAAGCACCACCAACAATGTAACTTCAGCATGTGAAAAAACAAGCAAAACAAAGAGCGCAGATCAAAGTTGGAATCAAGATTAACCATCCAAATGGTACACTCTCCAAACCCTTGTAAACTCCCATCTTCAAACTGAATTCTTCTCTCTAGTGCACTCTGTTGGCACTTTAAAGCAAAATCTTATTTACTCCACCCCCAAAAGCATATTAACTATCCATCAACCCTCTCCCAGCACCACTAGCTGCCAAACCCATTCCCCCACCGCGGCCAAAATAAAAGGTAGTGGGGAACCAAGGATTTAATTTCTATGGGAAAAAAATCAAACAAACAGCCCCAGATCAAAAATTACAGAAAGATCAATACAGGGACAAGAAATGAAAAAAAAAAAAGGAAAAGAAATTAAAAATAAGAGGGAAGGAAGGACCTTGGAGGAGGAGCTTTTGGGTGGTCTCATTTGGATCCATAGAGCACTCTTTAAGCATTGCATAGATGTCTTCTTCACTATGGTTTCCTGTGATCTCCTTTATACTCTGGATTATCTTCCTCACATTGCTTGGAATTGAAACCCTAACAACATCCCTATCCCCACTCCACCCCCCACCGCCACCTCCTCCGCTGCTGCTCATCTTCTCTGATGAATCTTTTCACACAACCCAAATTCTAAACTTTAATATATTTGATCACCTTTGATCAATTTCTCCTATGCTATGGTATAAATATGCATAATACTAGAAGTATCTCAACATGTATATGCTTGTGTGAATATGTATATGTGTATATATATATGTATAGGGAAGACTAAACTGACGAAAGAAAGAAAGGAAAAGAGAAAGAAGAAGTCTTTGCCTTAGGGGAAGGGTTTTTGCATCGTGTTAAGAGTAATAATCGAGTTTGATTAGATTTTAGTACCGGGTAAAATATAATTTGGGGAAGAATTGTAATTTTGGGTCTTATTATTTGGCCTGAGTTTCAAATTAGTCCCGATATTTTGGTCAAAATAAATCAAGTTCACAAACTTTGTGATTTTGGATAGGTTCAAAACAACTAATGAAAATGCTACAATGACTAATAATCAACATCCAATTACAGATTACCATTACAACTAAAGAACTTTGACTTTGCACTTTTGTCTCCAATATTTTGATTTTAAATCATTATATTTTTCTAATTTTTAAATAAAGATATTAAGGGTTTTAGCATGAATGAGATGCAAATTAAAATGAAATAGTATTAAATGGGTGATATAATTCAAATTAAACTTTGTTTATTCTTTTCCACTTTAATTCCATTTATTTATGCTAATAATATATCATATGTTTCTTTTATTTTGCATAGTTAGTCTCAAATTTGGTATTATATATATTATTGTTTCTCTCTATTAATAATTAATTGTTAATGAGTTTTATTATTTTTATTTCTAATTATAATTAAAAAGCTTAATTAGATATTCCATTAAAATATAAGGAATAAATAACCTTTGTAAATTAAGTTGATCCTTTTTTCGGCATTTTAATAGGTTATCAATTGAGTTTAAAATGAAATTGGCATTTTAACACATTATATGAACCACTAAATGATTATCAAAGTACATAGATGTTAAATTAAATGCTTTAAAATCACAATATTGGAATGCTAGATTTTAATTGGTAGGAAAGATAACAAAAAATAAAAGATAGTTTCCTTAAGAATTCCTAAAATTATTTCACATTGATACTTACCTTCACTAGTTTTTATAAGTACAATAGCTAACTGCATAGATTTAAAAACTATATGCACATGACATGCAACAATTTTTGTAGTAATAACTATAATAAATTTGGATTATAAAGCTAGAATTCTTCTTTCTTACACTACTTTATGTTTTATTTATCATTGTTATATTATCATCCAATTATAACTTATTTAACAAAGATATGCTATATAGGCTACAATCATGTTGTGCCAATATAAAGTGTTTTAATTAATAGTGAGAAACAATATTATAGATATATTATACCAAATTTGAGATTAACTATACAAAAGAAAAGAAACATATGATATATTATTAGTATGAATAAATTAAATAAAAATAAAAAGAAGAAAAAGAAAAAGAAGTTTAATTAAAATTCTTATTACCCATTTAATATTACTTCATTCTAATTTGCATCTCAATTCATGCTAAAACTCTTAATAGCACTATTTAAAGATTAGAAAAAATATAATGATTCAAAATAAAAACATTCGAGGCCAAAAGCACAAAGCCAAACTTGTTGACTAACGACAATTTGATATTGACCGTTAGTCATTATTTCATTTCCTTTAGATGTGCTAAATCTGCTTAAAATCACAAACTTTAGGGATTAAATTTATTTGGGTTGAAATATTGGAGACACTTGAACACATAGGTCAAAAATTAGGGACCAAAACTGCAATTCTCTCGTATTTCAAGGTAGTACTTATACACCTACAAAGGATATTAGATTAGGAAAATCCTTTCTTCTTTTATTTATATATTTATTTATTGACAAATTTCATACACACCAAAGAGACACAAATTCTAATTTTGTCAGAGGAAAATCCTTCCTATTACTTGTCTAAGTTTTTTCTTTAAAATTTTTTAATAGGGGAGAATCAGGATTTAAGAATAAGGAGGGGAATGGGGAATTAGAACATAGGAACTCAGTTCTCATGTTTCAACTTTAACTATTAAATCAAAACTTTTTCAACCCATTATTACTTGTTTACTATGAGTTTTCTTTCTCTGAATTCTTCTTTTTTCTTTTTTTTTGGGATGCCAATTTAGTTATTTTGGCATTTAAGAGGCTTAGAATTAAGTTAACTTTCTATCACTTGCTAAGGATGTGTTTGATAAAATTAAAGTATAAAGTTGAAAATCTAAAATAAAAAATATTTAAGTTGATGATTGATAAACCAATTTTTTCAAAATAAAGTTATATTTGTTTGATGATTAATTGGGTATGAACAATAATCGTATGAGGTTTGCCGATTGCATATTATTGTTTGTGAATGGGAGTGATACTTATCTATGTGACAAAATATGATAATTTAAAAAATATTCTGTTTAGTGTAAGTAAGATGTAAGCATGAGATAATTTATATAGATTCTTAACTTAATGATGACTTTGTTTATAGTTACGTTGATAGCATAAGAAGATGTGATTTGATATAAACACACAAGTATACTAATGGGCAAAATATGGACATTGACTTTGGATAAGACATTGCAAAGATAGCAATGATTATTTATAACACAGTTAAGTAACTCTATGGTTTGTAATGATCTATTTTGCACATTAGATAAGCTTAGAAATGATTTGTTTATAATATAGTTAATTAACTCTAAGGAACGATAATTATTACATAACAAAGATAGTACAAGCGTAAAAAGTATATAGTGAAAAGCATTCATCTTTTCTGCACAGACAGTATATATACTGTTAACATTGAATAAATGATAACTACGCAAAATTTGAATTTTAAAATTGAACTTTTGCACACATGTCATTAATCCAACGGTGATAGTATATATATTATTAGTGTGTATAAGATTTACTCTAGTGAAAATATATTTTTTTTCACAAAATAGGAAGCATGGTTGCTTCAAATTATAATGCTTGCTAATTGATAGGATTAAAAACATTTGGTAATTGATCTTGGGTTACGTTTGCACGTGCTTCAATACTCCAAATCCCATTTTCAGCAAGAGTAGATATTATGTTTAGGACTAGATAGAACAAAAACTTTTTTAAATAATAGTATTATACCATTATGATTGTTGTTCTTATGTACCAATGGATTTGTCTATAATAAAGTGCTCTAATTAATAGTGAGAAATAATTAGTGTGTTTGGATAGTAGATTATTTGGGATAATTTTTTGAAAATACTGTAGCACATTTTTATATGATGTATATGAGATTACAAAATAGTTGAAAAAGGTGTTATTTGATGTAAACAAATAAATTTTGGTAAATAATGCACTATCCAAACAAACCTAATATTATGCATTTATTATACAAAATTTGAGACTAACTATACAAAAGAAAAGAAACATATGATATATTATTAGTGTGAATAAATAAAATAAAAATAAAAATAAGAAAAAAATTTAATTAAAATTCTTGTTACCCATTTAACACTATTTCATTCTAATTTGCATTTTAATTCATGCTAAAACTCTTAATATCATTATTTAAAATTAGGAAAATATAATGATTCAAAGTCAAATATTGGGGACCAAAAGTGCAAAGTCAAATTGTTGACTAACGATAATTTTGATATTGACCATTAGTCATTATTCCATTTCCGTTAGTTGTCCTAAATTTGATTAAAATGACAAACTTTGGGGACTAGATTTATTTTGGTTGAAACATTAGAGATCACTTTGGCATATAGGCTAAACATTGGGGGCCAAAACTGCAATTTTCCCATATTTTGGGATAGTATTTCTACACCTACAAAGGGTATTAGAGTAGAAAAATCCTTACTTCTTTTATTTATTTATTTATTTATTCATTGACAAATTCCACACACTGATGGGACACAAATTTGAATTTTATTAACGGAAAATTCTTACTATTACTTGTCTAAGTTTTTCCTTAAATTATCTTTTTTAACGGGAAAGGATTGGAATGTAAGAACTAAGGAGGGGGAAGGGGGAATTAGAACGTAGCACCTAAGTCCTCAAGTGTCAACATTAAGCATTAAACCACGACATTTTTTTTGACGCACTGTTACTTGTTTAAGTTGAGTTTTTTTCCTTCGATTTCTTCTTTATTTTTCTTTTTTTCTTTTATGGGGATGCCAATTTAGTTTTTGTTTGGCATTAAAAAGGTTTAGAATTGAGTTAACTATCTATCACTCACTAAGGATATGTTTGATAAAACAAAAGTATGAAGTTGAAAATATAAAATAGAAAAAATATTAAGTTGATGATTGATAAAGCAATTTTTTAACATAAAGTAATATCTATTTGATGATTAATTGGGTATGAACAATAACTTAACATAGTCTTATATCAGCTATCTGTTGCACCCCATTTTTTGAAATAAAAGATTTTAATGAAAAAAATGTTTTTAATTTTAGAAAATAAAAAAAGGGCCTAAAATGAGACCTTTAAAAATGTGATAGTTTGGGTCCAAAAATATAGTCTAAATAAAGGGGGTTTTAGAAAAAAAAAAAAAAGGGAGTAGCCAATTAGTATTAAATTTAAGCGTACCAAGTCACCAAAGAAATTTTAGAAAAATAAAAAATAAAACCATTTTTTAGATGATTTCAGGTCTTTGAAAATAAGAGCAAAAGGTTCGAAAATCACAGTTGAAAAAATGGAAGACAAAATGTTCAATTGGTTCAAACTTAAGGTACCCTTTTAACCTAGTCTAACCTACTTATGAGATTTAATCAAAATTTTCCTAATATAACTCTCAAACTTATCACATTTGGATGTTTGTATATGGATACAAATCTAAACTTAAAGGAAATATCGTAAAGGGTAAAATGTCCCTTCAAAACCTAGTTGGTACCAGTTGCATTAAATGCAAGACCTAAGATAATCCCTTGAAGGGATATAAGTATGCAAAAATGAGACTCGAGAAAAGAGAAATTAAATCTTTTATAGAATTACATAGAGCACATAGCACATAGGCGTAATATTTAGATATAAAATTCTAAAAAAAGTGAGTAAAAGACACAAGTACATAAGATACATAAGCACAGAAGACCTAACTATTACATTGGGACCCTAACTATAATCTAAA